GTTCCTATAACCATAACGAAAAGATATCACAACCCTTTGTACATCAAGATGAACTTAAAAAAATCCCCTTCTAAAAATTGGTATTATATAAGCATGGTGGATATCCTCGGATGCCATAAAACTTGGGATACTTGAAAATCAAACTTAAAATGACAGTCTTCAAACTTTAACTATAGTAATACCTTTTAACAAGGTTGACATTGCTAGGAAAAATTGATTGGTAATTTTTTACAACAATTTGTTTATGTTGAGTTTCCTCAGTCTATTTGTGTACCCTAAGGAGGATTACCACAAAACTTCTAGTTGATTTAGAGACAATGTCCCACTCTAATCCTCGTGTATCCCCCACCCAAGTTCATCTTAAATCATGGTTTCTTAAATTTAAGGTATCTTGACAACCTCGTAGTTCATATAGCTCTAAAATTTTTACCACGATCGTAATGCCTCATCCAAACTATGGCTTGATACTTTTAAATCACCTCACAACATCCATAATTGGTTGTATTATTATTATTATTTTAATTTTCAACTTAAGGCAGGAAAGTTTTCTACATCTCACTAATTCCAAAGCCCAGCTTTCATTAAAGGCACTTATGTCATTCATCAATCAATTTAAGTATAGATGTTTTAAACTTTTATGGTTTTAACTCAATTTTTTTTACTAATACTTTAATTTCATCTTTACATACTTCAAAGTTATAAAATTTTCTTTCCGACGCTGCCACTTTTAATATTAGTATACAATAAGATATTGACGTCTATCAAGCTTCTTAGGTCATTTTATTTCATCTAAAACTACTAACTCTTCAGTATACATTGGTATATTCATTCACATCTCTATGGTCATAAAACTGTGTAGTTTATCTATGTTCGAGGCGTCTAACTAAAACATATAATCTTGCTTGGCAAAATCATTTTCACGCATATACTAACATTTAGTAGCTCACTAAAACTATAGCTACTCATTCACAACAACAATCTAAGTAAATCTAAACATCATTAATACAACAATTTACATTCAAATTCCATGCAAGGTAAAACATAACTCATCAATACAACAATTTACATTCACATTCCATGCAAGGTAAAACATAATGTATTCTAAATTATAATAAATATAGAATTAAGCTAACATGAATGTAATAAATTATAATACAATCAATAGAGTAAAAGTCCAAGTATGAGTTATATTTTATAATGACCAAGCAATAACAACATACACAATCAACGACATTTCATTTTCTTATCTTACGCAAGACATACCTGACAGAGATGGAGCACCGACGGTGGGACCATGGAACATGTCAAGCCTACATCGTAGGCTAGTCTACAAGATCTATAACCTGGCTCTGATACAAACTGTAACGACTCGAACTTTTCTACTTAATTTAAGGTCGCTATTGCATACGTACCATAAACATTGAATGCGGAAGACTTCATTAAAATTTCATAAAACATAACCTTTATCTTAGAACACAGACATGGACTTACGTGTTCCGAAAACATCTTAAAACGACACAACAAAAGACTAAATAAAACGAATAAGAGTTTAAGTTAAAAATATTCTATTCTAGCCTAAGTCTAAGAAAATAAATATCACTATCCTATGCATGTATCATGGTCTCGAGTTGCGATGTCGTCGTCAGCCGTACTGGAATGCATTGCCTTAACCTAAAAAATGTAGTAGCACATGGCTTGAGTATTTAAAGAAATACTCAGTAAGTGACCCCACTATTGGGGTTAAATGCAACAATCACATGCAATGAAATGATGGGACCTATCTTTCGTTTCGTTTCGTTTTCCCTATGGTGCTGTCCTTACGGGTAATTTTGGACGTGTACCATATACTCTACACATAGCCCATACGTGTGAGTATGGACTCATCAGCTAGTTCGCACACCGCTGGGCCACTTTCCTTATCCGGTGGGCATACTCTGGGAGCCCCTTATGCCGGGACCCGTTAGAACTAGTAACCGTCACGGCAACGCTATGCAAAGCATAACGATCGTTGTCCTGCCATTGGATGTACGCGTCCGTACCCTCGTGATGGGATAGGGGTATCCCCCCAAATGCATGAGCACATATAATGCATGAGGTCCCAAAACTTTTTCATTTTCATTATCCTTTAATACAACCCCGCTAGCATTATGTACATATCATATCATTTTTCATATCGTTTCAGATATCGTTCATCATTCATATCATATCGTTTCTCATTCTTCAGTTCTCAAATCATACATAATTCTAATGGGGTTATATTTCATGCCACTTATCATAATTTCATGTCATTCATATCATGTTGTATACACACAATTTAAGAGACCTAACATAACGTTCTATGCTTTTAACATAACATTTCATCATATACACATCATACCATGACATATTGCATCACAATGTATCATATCATAAACAAGTCATAACGTAAATCGTAGTCATATCATTTTCTAACTTATCATAGTCTTAACGTTCTTATACCTATCACAGACATATCATTACGTAAACGTACCTCAATCATATCATCACAAGAACGGAACCTAACGCTATCGTTCTATCAATCCTAACGCTATCGTTCTACCAATCTATCACAAACCTATCCCTTTCTACCCGTAGCCTAACCGTATTCTTCCATCAATCTCTCTTATCCATATCACTCTGGTATGTAACCTAACTTTAACGTTTCATGAACGTATTTTACTCCTATCGTTACATTTCGTTTTGTGCATCCTTCTCGTATCCTATCTCAAACATATCACTGAACACGTCGTACCGTAATTATTATCAAACAATTCACATATTATAACATATACATAACAAATAAGAAGCATATCGATCCACAGACAATTCACACATATCAATATATATGACACGTGTAGAACCACGGGGCACGTGTCAACAACAAATATAACCATATCGATAGTAAGATCACTTACTTGGCTAGCTTAAGTCGTTGTCACGAATATATCTTTAATGAAAGTTCGATTCCGTCCTTTGAAATCTGAGTCAACCTATATGAGCCCATGACATTAGTTTCAGGTTTGAACTCTACAACATTATTTCTCTAATTTACCTTGATCCATGGTTAAAAGTCTTGAAATGTTATATATCTATAATTATATTTTTATTAAAAATCTTATTTTTTGATGGTTACTGTTGTATAAGAAAGTAATACAGCTACTCTATTTACCTTTCCCTCTATATATATATTTAGTTTGTGGTTTTTTATTCCCTCATTTTTTTTTAATCTGTTGCCTTTTAATTTAATTATGTTCTCATGTATTCCAAATTTGAGTGACCTCTGTTTCCAAATCTTTCTTTATCTCACTCTTTCCTATTTTAATCTATCAAGTTGGCTAATAAAAATTTAATCTAATATTACTAATCTGACTAATTTAGTAGAATAGTATAAATGATTCACATTTAGTTTCTAACTCAAAGCTAGACCATTGTAATAATTGAATGAAGATCTAACTATAATTTGTTGTGATTTCTAAAAAAAATAGGATAAAAGAAGATGAAGATTTAATATATATCTTATTCATCAGATCTATCTTTACTTAAATCTACCGCGAATCTCAATTGGGTAAAGGTCATTCTCATTTGTTAGTAAATCTGATCATTATTGTTTTTCTGTTTTTTTATAGTAACTGTTACTTTCCAAATGGATTGAGAAGGGATAATTGTAGGATGGGACGAGAGGTTAGAAGAGAGAAGTGGGGAAACGTTGTTTTTTTTTTAATTTATTTATTATTATTATTATTTTAACTACACCTTTAAAATTATTTTTATTTGTTTATTTGTTTATTTATTTTTGGGCTATTACATCAGGTATTGATGTCGGGATCATTGTATCAAAGAAGGTTGACCGTTGGAAATCGGTGTTGAGGACGTTGTGGGATTGTCGGCGCGTCGCCGGAATCAGGAGGCAGAAACTAGGGTTTCGTCGCTTGTCAGGTAAGGAAGGCGAGGTTTTTGGAATCGGGTCGAGCCGCAGACGCATGCCCAATAGCTCCGACAGCTTCGCATGCGTACACAGTGCGGCTCGGCTTGGCAGCTTAGTTGGTCGGCTCGGAAGCTAGGCTTATCGGCTCGGTATCACTATAATATATCGATTTCAAGGTTTTTGGCCCTTTCAAAGTTGTTTCTGCCCTTAGTTTTATCATCTGAAGTCCGTATGCTTCCTAACCGTTAAAGAAAAATTGGGTCGGGAGTTTATTTTGATAAATAGCATGAGATTTAGCTAGGGTATGTTATGAAAGGTTCCTAAGTTTTTATGTGGTTATTATAGAACGTATTTAATTGTTGGGATTAGCTTGTTGTGAGTGACTTCGGCCAAGGCCATCGAGGTAAATGACCTTACTGTTGGAGTTAGTTTATTACGTGTTGTATGATGGTGAGTGCCCTGTGGCCCCTGCATGCACCATGTTTTATTATGTGATATGACTATATGATGTATGAATTATGTAACTGTTTATGCTATGAAACGTAATGAGTTATGTTGACTGTTGACTGTTTATGTTATGTGAAGTTATGAATGGTATGTTAGTAATATATGTCATGAAAATGTTGATCGATGCCATGGATACATGTAGTATTATCGAGTCATGTCATCAAATATTTATGCAACTAGAATGTACTTTCATGTTATGTAATATGTCATGTAAGGTAAGACTTTATTGTGTTTTTCAGGGTTATTTATAATGAGCTTCCGCATAACGAATTATGTATGCATGGATGACGTCACTAATTAGGTTTAGAAAATTAGGAGCCTCTATTCATACATAATTCATTACGCGGAATAGTGACATCACCCATGCATACATAATTCATTACGCGGAAGCTCATTATAAATAACCCTGGAAAAACACAACAAAGTCTTTCATAAAGATTCATAAATCCAAAACAAACCTATCTTCGAAAATAAACCTTTTAGTAACTGAATTCAAAATAAATCTAAATAAAACAATACTCAATGCTTTAACTTAAAACAGTCAAATAAACGTAAACTCCTAAAAATATTCCCTCTCCAACTTCCATGGTGTCCTCAGCTCCGCCGTCAACTGTACATTGGCGCCTTGCCTTTACCTGAAAAATGGAGGTAGCACGTGACTTGAATATTTTATGAAATACTCAGTAAGTCACCCCACTGTTGAGGTCAGAAATGCAAACACATGCAACATATGAGCAGAACCTAACTTTTCATAAACTTAACATAGCCTTTGGCACTTTTCTATTCAGGGTACGGTTGGGTGTGTGGTACTCCTTCACACACGGCCCATGTATGCGTACAAGGACCCACCAGGCGGGCTCGTATACATACCCCCTGGGCCTGACTTGGTCGGGCACAACGTGTTACACGTCGCCGAACACCACATAACAGAAAAGGGCCCCCGTGATATCATGGCGAACATAAATATTGTAATTCATTATTTCGTCTCATAAAGGGGAAGAATCCTGATACACGTGACATACATATAGTATGAGGTCCCTTAACATATCTAACATGGCATTACATAAGCAGTGCTAACATCGCATATACGTTTCTTACATTACATGACATCTCACATGACTTACATTACATGGCATATTACATAACATGAAAGTACATTCCAGTTGCCTAAACATCTGATGAGATGACTCGATAATACTACGTATATCCATGGCATCGATCAACATTTTCATGGCATATATTACTAACATATCATTCATAACTTCACATAACATAAACAGTCAATAGTCAACATAACTCATTACGTTTCATAGCATAAACAGTCACATAATTCATACATCATATAGTCATATCACATAATAATACATGGTGCATGCAGGGGCCACAGGGCACGCACCATCATACTACACGTAGTAAATTAACTCTAACAGTAAGGCCACTTACTTGATGGTCTTGGTTGGAGTCACTCACAACAAGCTAATCCCAACGGTTAAATACGTCCTATAATAACCACATAAAAACTTAGTAACCTTTCATAACATACCCTAGCTAAATCTCATGTTATTTATCAAAATAAACTCCCGACCCAATCTGTCTTTAATAGTTAGGAACCATACTGACCTCAGATAGTAAAACTAAGGGCAGAAACAGCTTCGGAAGGGCCAAAAACCTTAGAATCGATATATTATAGCGATACCGAGCTGCCAAGCCGAGCTGCCAAGCTAACTAACTAAGCCACCAAGTCGAGCCGCGAGATTTGACGGAGCCAAGCCGAGATCCGTGTTGGGCCGAAACGCACAAGACCCGCATTCGTCCGTGGGCCGTTTCAGAGGTCGAAACCTGACCCGACTCTGCATCTTCTTCACCCGAACCCTCATGAAAACCCTAATCTGATGTGCCGCCGCTACCGACGACACAATCCCTTCCGTTTCCGACGACCGTATGTGGCGTCCTCCTCCTTCGCTTTCAACGGTTTGCCTTCTTCGACGCAGCGATTCCGACGTCGACACTAACTTTCACTCAACTCTTCCTCCAAGACAGCAACATAATCAATTTCGAGAACTTGCCGAACAAGAAAACTTCCCAGCGAACCAACCCACACGTTTTTCCGGCTAACACCCTCAATTTTCCCGTACTCTCAGACACCCTCGAAAACACAAACAAGTTCAAAGAGCAAAAGTCATTTTCAAGGAAGGAGAAGAGTTGGATATAGGAATATAAAAAAATTTCATAACATTTATAAGGTATTGTTGAAAATCGCACTTTTTTCAGAATAAATGCATAACATAATATCTTGTCGTTTATATAAATAAAAATAAAAATCTTAACCAAAGAAGGCAAAAATAGAAAATCCGAATAGTTACAACTTGTGTATCCTCGGATTGGAATTTTGAGTTTTCCTTGAAGCTCTTTAATGGTGGATTGGATTGGGGGAATGGTTTTTAGGCACTTTCAAGACTCTATTCCTTCATAGAAATTGTGGGTAATCTTGTTTAGGAGCTACAGGAACAGGTTTGAAGAGGAATGGTGGAGCATTGCTCTCGAATGTGGAAGAAATCCGAGAGTAGAAGACCCAAAATCTAAACACTTATTGCCAACAACTATGAGCTCGACCTTGCTCGATTCATGTTCCAAACTATTGCCCCAACTTCAGAATTTAGAGGAAAAACTTAAACCGACATTGGGAGCTCCAGAATCGTTGTGAATTGTCGGTTGGATTTTCTGAAAAATCCATCGAAAATATCTACTTCGATTAGAGCCTCACCGACCTTGGTTTTGAATCCTAGCCGTTGGATGTGATGATCCGTGAGTGTTCTAGAATATATCCGAGTTTGGAGGAGATCCAACAGTTGAGAGTCGAGATTCAAAGGATTTTGTGCAGAAGGTACGGTGAAGGTTCTGATTTTTTTAGTAGAATGGCAAATTCGTAATTATCCTTAACTTCAAGGGTATTTTGGTAATTTGTCACTTTTCGAATATTTTATTATTATTTTCTAAAAAAATCCATAATTTTCCTAAAAAGTCTTCATCCCTTTCCAGTCATTTTTCCCTTCTTAAGCATCTTGAAATTCCTTTTACATAAGGAATTAAAAATATAGAAAGATCCTTGATCATTGAAAAAATGACCTTTTCGTCCTTTTCGCTTACGCTTTCATTCTCAATCCTTCTCCAAAGGTCTTAAGTCCTTAAGATTACTTCTTAGGGTATAGAAATGACTTACTAAGACCCCTTTCCTTGCTTAATCCTCCTAATTTTCTTCCTTGGATCCTTTGAGTCTTGCATAGGTGGCTTTCCTTCATTTTTTAGTGTTACAAAAACTACTTATATATACACTCTATTTTGATATTTTGATATAATGCAAGTATATTGTATATTGTGTTTTAAATTTTCTTTGTTTTGAATTCGCACAAAATTTGACTGTCTTCTTACCCTGTCGAGTCAATCTCAGTCGTAAGCCACGCTTTGGGCAAGTTTCAAAATCGAGTCGTGACATAAATTCTCTAGTGATGTTCTCCGACATAAAGTAAGCAAATTATAAATAAAGATACATGATAGGACACATCTTATTTTACGTACCCTATGTGACCTTGACTTTAGGGACTACGAGAGTACATAGAAAAAACATATACACAATATGAGAGATTATTTATGTAGTGTGATCATACCTAACACGGTGAGTACATCAACTCTTTCGTTCATCATCCGAGTTCATCTGATTATGACTTGACTATCCGGGTTGGTGGTGGGAAGCTGTCGTTGTAAATATTAACCTATGTCATTGTCGCTTACAAATGAGTGGGTAATTCGTTTAACTACACGCCCATCTAGTTAGCTTCAAATAAATGAAAAGTTTATGGGCTGGGTTGTTTACAGGGGAAGTCAACCCAAATTTATTGCTAATTTATTTTTAAATTTTTAAAAAATACCTGTTTTTCCACGTAATACAATTATATATACCTGATTTTAATTTAATTTAATTTCATAATTATTATTTCGATTATTTATTTTACAACTTTAAAAAATAAAAAATTAAAGTTTTGGAAGGTAATTTTTTGAAAAATAGATTTTCCAGTTTGGTTCGGTCTAGTTACTTCGAAAACCGAACTAATGGGTTCGGTTCAGAGATACTGACCGGTCGGCATACTTTATCAGCTTGGCTGCTGCAAATTTAGGGTACACTCACGAGCCAGGCGCTCTCCCTCGCTCCTTCAGAATCGCCCCGGACACGGATCTTCTGGAGCTCGCCTTTCGATCTCCGATTTGCTTCCATTTCCAGGTATCCTCCTATATCCTCTCTAAATCTTCTTAACCGAGCAACTGGCGCTTCCCGAATCATTCTCTCAATCTCGCTCTACAGCTTTCTCTTTCTCAGTCTCTCAACGTTTGTTTTCTTCTTTTTTCTAAAACCCTTTTGCCATTTTTAGCTGCTTTTTCTCTACTTTAGGGTTGGACTCCTGATGCGATTCATGCGAATATTGGTAGTATTTTGCTGGATTCCTGATATCTTTGCGGGGATGTATGGGTTCGCTTGATTTTTTTGTATGTTAGAAATGATTGGCGATGTTTCTGTTTAATCTGTTCTGCTGTTTATGTGATTTGTTTGCTGAATCTCTGACTTTTTTGCTGCTCTGGTTCGATTTAGTTTTTAATCTAACTGCAAATAAGCCAAGTAGTCAATTCAAGCTTCAGTGCTTATACTGCCATTACCATCTCTAGGATTAGCATCTTTTTCTTTGCATCTTAAGAAATGGAGTTGCGTTACGAAAGAGAAGTTGGAAAAAGTAATTTCTCCGCCCAGACCAACTATGATTAGGAAAAAAAAAAAATCTCACAGTTGGTTTGTGTAGGAATTAGTAGTGAAAATCTCAGAAAGATTGTACAATTAGAAACGAAACGTTCCTTATAAAAGAGGCGATACAGAACAGTTCTATAGAATCAATCTCTTTATAAAGTAATATTGGAGAACGTTACAAAGCTCTGAAAATTGAAAATTTAATTAATCTCTAGTTCGTCCTAAGAAACCGAGACTTATAGTTTTCCAGTTAACCAAGTGAGTCCCACTATGGAATATGGCTCGCACAGAAATCCCACAATAGTTTCTCTATCAGCTGTTGGTTTAGAAGGTGTTAAGAATGATACTCTAATACCATGTTAAGAATGAGAATTAGAAGTGGGATTGAAAGTCTAAGAAACATAGGTAGGATCGAAAGTCTCAGTGGGATCTAAAGTTCGATTTTCATTAATGTTCAACGTTTAAATAGAATACAAACTACAAACAAATCCTAAAAATAAAAGAAAATATTCTACTAACCAAATCCTGAAGATAAGATAAAATATATCAAATATAAAATCCTAACTGATTAGGGCTATATAAAATATATTCCAATAGAAGGACTTCAAAGAGTGGACAAGCAATATCTCAAAATACTTGAAAGAATAGCTTGGATGGAAGTAGGGCCTCCCTTTGTTCCAGAGGAAGTCAGCCTTCTCCTGGGGTTGTTTGCTTGTTGCTGATATCTTTGTGGTCTTTAGTTGTTATTTTGCTGTCACCTACAAATATATTTACATGCCGACACACATAAACTCATGTATGGTGCACGTGTTTGTATATGTGTGTTATTATGCACCCAAGCACACATTCCTTTAGCTCCCATGTTTCTCTATACCTCCCTTTGCACCTATAATTCTATATTTCATTTTCCTTTTGGCATAGCAATATTTTAAATGTGTTTTCTCATCTTTCTGGATGATACATTGGTTTTTCCTGTCTTTAATATCAGTATTCGAAAAGATGTTTAGGGTTAATCAACCTTACTTTTGTGAACTATAATGGCATCGCTCTCACTCTTTAATTTTGCAGATAACAATAGGTTGCAGAAAGTATATATCTTGCTAGTATGAGGCGGTGTTACCATTGAAATATTTTGTGTTTGTCTTGAAGTCTTATTTTATTGTGGAGAAAAATGCTTGGCTCATTTGGACCAATCTTGACTCTTCCAGCTCCATCCGAGGATTCAAAACCTACTGTTCAGGATGAGCAGGATGAAATTATTAATGACCATGAAGTGGATAAAGACAAAACCAACTCTACACCGGTATCAGTTGCAACTCATACTAAAACTATTGGTATCATACATCCTCCTCCAGATATCCGAAGCATTGTTGATAAAACTTCACAATTTGTTGCGAAAAATGGACCAGAATTTGAGAAGAGGATCATTGCTAATAATGCCGGTAACGTCAAGTTTAATTTCTTGAATCCCTCAGATCCCTACCATGCATACTATCAGCATAGGTTGTCTGAGTTTCGTGCTCAGAATCAATCATCTGCACAGCAGCCTTCACAGGCTGCAGATTCTACTGCACCTGCGTCAGCCCCATCTGGTCCTGCTGCTGACAGCAATGAAACAGTGGCAGCTAAGCCTGATGTTTCTGCCTTGTTCAAACCTGTACGCAAAGTTCTCGAGCCTCCAGAGGCTGAGCAGTATACTGTCCGTCTTCCTGAAGGGATTACAGGGGAAGAATTGGATATTATCAAGCTAACAGCCCAATTTGTTGCTCGAAATGGGAAATCATTCTTGACAGGATTGACGAGTAGAGAGATTAACAATCCTCAGTTTCATTTTCTGAAACCTACTCATAGTATGTTCATGTTTTTCACCTCACTGGCGGATGCATATTCGAAAGTGCTGATGCCTCCTAAGGGGTTGACTGAGAAACTGAAGAAGAGTGTTATTGACATGACGACAGTGCTTGAGAGATGTGTGCATAGACTTGAGTGGGAACGTTCACAAGAGCAGGCAAGGCAAAAGGCTGAAGATGAGATTGAGCAGGAAAGGATACAGATGGCTATGATTGATTGGCATGATTTTGTCGTGGTTGAGGCGATAGACTTTGCAGATGATGAGGATGAAGATTTGCCCCCACCAATGACTCTTGAGGAGGTAGTTAGAAGAAGCAAGATTTCGGTTGCTGAGGAGGAAATTGTTGAGCCTGGGAAGGAGATGGAAATGGACATGGATGAGGAAGAGATGCAACTGGTTGAAGAGGGTATGCGGGCTGCTCGGTTAGGAGAAAATGACAATGACAAGAATGATATGAAGATAGATGAGGAGCCCGAGCCACCAATGAGAATTGTAAAGAACTGGAAGAGACCTGAAGAGAGAATCCCTGCAGAAAGAGATCATACGAAATTTGTCGTCTCTCCGATCACAGGTGAGCTAATTCCAATCAATGAGATGTCTGAACATATGAGGATTTCACTTATCGATCCGAAGTACAAAGAGCAAAAGGAAAGAATGTTTGCCAAGATTCGGGAGACTACACTTGCTCAGGATGATGAGATCTCACGAAATATAGTTGGATTGGCACGAACTCGTCCTGATATATTTGGTACCACTGAGGAGGAGGTATCAAATGCAGTCAAGGCAGAAATTGAAAAGAAGAAAGACGACCAACCGAAGCAGGTCATATGGGATGGCCATACTGGAAGCATTGGGCGTACAGCAAATCAAGCTATGTCACAGAATCTTGTTGGAGAGGATCCGAATGATACTACTTACAACGATGCGAGGAACCTTCCTGGCCCTGCTGCTCTGCCACCCAAACCCGGAGTGCCATCAGTTCGTCCGCTCCCGCCTCCACCTGGTCTCGCCTTGAATCTTCCTTCCATGCCTCCGAATGCACACTATTCTAACCCAATTACTGGACTTCCTGTACACCAACCACAACCGCCTGTTATCTCAATGATTCCATCCGTTCAGCCACCACCTCCTGCCATGCCTGGACAACAATCATATTTCATGAATCGTCCCCCATCTATACCTCCACCAATGTCTATGAATGCACCAAATATGAGTGTCCCACCACCACCTGGATCTCAGTTCACTCCCATGCCAGTTCCACGGCCTTTTGTCCCTCTCCCTGCCCCTCCACCTATGAATAGTATGATGCCACCTCCCCCTATGCCACAAGGGGTTCCTCCACCACCTATGCCCCAAGGGTCGCTGCCTCCCTTACCACCTGACGAAGCTCCTCCACCGCTTCCAGATGAACCAGAGCCAAAGAGACAGAAGCTTGATGATTCTTTGCTTATGCCCGAAGACCAGTTTCTGGCACAACATCCTGTATGCATTTGTTTTTGTTGTTGTCTATCTACGAGTATCTTAGTGCTTATTACCTCAATAATAACTTTGACTCTTTTTGATGGCAGGGACCTATCCGTATCACTGTATCTGTTCCTAATCTTGATGATGGAAATCTGAAAGGCCAAGTTCTGGAGATTACTGTGCAGTCCCTTTCAGAAACTGTTGGAAGTTTAAAAGAGAAGATAGCGGGTGAGATCCAGCTTCCAGCAAACAAACAGAAACTGAGTGGAAAACCAGGGTTTCTGAAGGACAATATGTCGCTTGCTTATTACAACGTTGGAGCAGGTGAAGCGCTTTCCCTGTCTTTAAGGGAACGTGGTGGTAGAAAGAGATAATCAAATCCTTGTAGCAGACAGACTATTTCAGGTTTAAATTTGGACTTTCCTAGTAGTATTTAGAAGACAACAATATGTTCAAATTGAAGTGTATTGATCTTGTTTCAACTCCTCCCTCAGCTTCCTCCCTATAATGAGACTGTAAAATTGCTTTCCAACTGTATCCTTATCAGAAAACTAGATTATGAAGTATATGTCAGAATTTTGAGTGTCCACGTAGGTTGTTAATTGCAGCCATTGAAGGGCAAATCAACTGGTCGTTGTGTTGACTAGTTAGTTTTTAAGTGGCTGCTTAGTCTGAAGTAGTGTCGAGTTGAGTTGAGTTATCGTCTTACTAAACTAATTCATGTGCCAGGATTGTACACCGTGTCAATGACATCATGTTTCCAAGTGATGCATGCCCAAGAGACTCTACATGCATTTAAACGATGTATGTATGGTCGTGTGTAAAAGTAACGAAAGTGATGCAAATCTAGTAAACCTAAAAATCATGAAAGTCTCGTGCGTAGGTTTAGTGTACATGAACGTGATATATATGGAATTATGTATATGAAAGGAATGAAGATCTAGAGCACCTCGATGTTAGGTCTTAAGTTAAACTTATAGTCATGTTAGTTTGATTCTTCTTTGGATGTGTAGGCACTTTATGACTTAGTAATGATGTCATTTATCGAATATTTTAATACTCAACTTTTTTTAAATTATTTTTTATACTGAACAAGGTCGAATATTTTTAATACTCAACTTTTTTAATATTTTTAACCTTTTTAATTTTTTTTTATTATTAAATAAAGACAAAGATATTCTATATGACAACCTTTGTTACCAAGGTCATGGGATAACCTTTGTCTGAAAAAATAAAACCTTTAAATCTAAATTATACAATAACGGAAAATACAATAAAATTCAACTCAAAGAAAAAAAAATTAATTAATTATCTTGATGATCCAGATCAAAAGTAAATAAAACTCATTTTTAAATTCGTGATTTGAGTCGCTCTATAAAAGATTTGATTAACATTACTTTAATGAGCATGCAAATTTTAAACACAAGAATTTACAGAGTAAAAGAAAAAAGATATAACTTCCAACAAATCTAAAGTAGAAGACGAGGCAATTTGAAAGCTTTTAGCTTAGCTATTGGCTTTCATAACATGCAAAGGACGACTGTTCTGGTTTGAATCATGTTTTAGAAGTTGGGCCATAACATTTTTACATAAATTTAAATTCTTACTATTGATTTATATTCACTTCGACGATATTAATATTCCATCAATATTTTACTGAAAAATGAAAATCTCGATTCATTCGATATGTCAATATGAGACCTATAAACATAAGTAAATAACAACAGAAATATCGAACACGGGCAAATCAAATTCCACCAACTTATACACGTATAATTGGATACTATAATTAGAAGAGACATGTTGTTCCATAATGCAAGCACATTAGATAAGTAGTTTGAAACATGGTAGAAGTTGATAAGGATGAGTTTGAGTTCACAAATTCCACCAACTTAGGAAGCCACACTCCATCTCTCACTTGCTTCAGTGATTGGGTCTGCAAAAGCCTCTCTCCCATGCACCATAACTCAACCTAATTCAAAGCTTCAAAACTTAATAACAAAACAACCCCTCAATTCATTATTATTTATAATTAAACCCCTCTCTCTCTCCTCTCTCCTCTCTCTCTCACTAGGACATTTGAGTGAGACATCTCATGCATGCTTCTTATTTTTTCAAACCCCTTCTGACTTTGTAATTATTAGAGAGAGAGATAGAAGAAAATAATGATTTTGAAAGAAAGGGTTGAAAATTAGGAGTAGTTACCTCAGCTTGATGGGAGAGCCCCAACTTTGTGAGCAGGTACTTCTTCACCATTAGCACTGTCATCTTCTCATCCCTAAATAGTTTGTTCACCAAAATCCATAACCCAAACACTTAGATCTTTGTGATTCGATCGGTATACATTTTGATCGGAGGTATACGTGTTAATTGAGCTAAACTCAACTTACCCACATGTCGATAGATAAAATATAATCGAAATCACGTCTTTTTGACTTTTTGATTGAATGTATACTTCTCAACTGAGTTTAGCTTGATTAGTCGGAAGAACTTTGACTCTATTTGGATTGAAATTTCCGACCTTTTGATAGGAGGTATACATGTTAATTGAGCTAAACTCAGCTTACCCACGTGTCAATAGATTAAACACAGTTAAAGTTACGTGTTTTTTACTTTTTGATAGAAGGTATACTCGTTAACTAAGCTAAGCTCAGTTAACTAGAAGAACTTTGACTCTATTTGGATTGAAATTTTCGACCTTTTGATCGGAGGTATATACATGTTAATTGAACGAAACTCAATTTACCCACTTGTCAATAGGTTAAACACAGTTAAAGTCACGTGTTGTTTACTTTTTGATCGGAGGTATACTCGTCAACTAAGCTAAGCTCGGTTAGGTAGAAGAACTTCAACCCTATTTAGATCGAAAGTTTCGACTTTTTTATCGAAGGTATGCATGTTAATTGAGCTAAACTCAGCTTATCCGAAGGTATACTCGTCAACGGAGCTAAAAGGTACACATGTTAATTACACTAAACTCCATTTACCCACGTGTCAATGGATTAAACACAACTAAAATCACATTTTTCCGTCTTTTAATCAAAAGTATACTCGTCAACTAAGCTAAACTCAGTTAACCATGTCTGTTAAAAGTTCATAAAAGAGAGATTGTCTCACTTACTTGACTCTAATGTAGGCTTTGGGTATCTGAGGCAGTGGTGCTCCACCTTTCCTGTCATATTCCAAATGCAATCATTGTCTTACCTTCTCATGAGAACTACCATTCAATTTTTTTGTTTCGATATATTTCGATCGTTGGGTTAAATCCAACAAATAAAAGAACATCAAAATCAACACCGAGTTTATGAGATCACCTATTCGGCGAAGATCGTAGGGAGAACCACAAGCCAGCAGGGTTAGGAGGAGGTGGTGAAGAAAGGCCATGAAAATGGGGAAAATTGGTGAGTGAATGGCTATGAAACGCCCATTTTTGGTTGTTTTGAGTACTCATAAAACCCATTATTCCCATGTTGGTATCAAAACATTTGGGCCCAATTTGTAGCCTTAAACTCAAACTACTACCCTCACCTTCCTCACCCAAATTCATTTCATCTTCTTCTTTCTTTGCTTCTTCTTGCTTCTTCTTTGTGCCTCTCAATCCCAAGCTCAGCTCTAGCCACTCCTTCGAACCAGGGGAACCCATTTTGGCAAACCTTTCCAAAGGAGATGGCTATATCAAGCTTTAATTTTAGATATATATATAAATATATATAGGGAGAGAGAGGTAGTGTAATCATTACCAATTTTTTATTGTTTTTTCTGATTATTTCCCTTTTTTTGAATAACTTTTGAGTTAACCGATGATTTATCGATAAATCATCATATAATTGTGCTTCATATCTTCCTGACATCGACCCATTGTCGTTAAATGAGAGTAGTATTCATATTGTTATGGGCGGGCTAATTTGATGACCCCATGGTCCCAAGTTTATTAGACCTAGGCGTACATAAAAAGGAATAGAATCGTGAGCTAAGTCTTTAGGTCGAGCCAAGGTGTTCGTGTTGACATCGTTTGTTCATTGTGTGGGGCTATTATCGTTGTAAGGTTTGAGCAATATAAATATAGGAGTCCACTCTCTATCCATGATATACACTTCGTTGTGTTTAACTTAACATCACTTCGTCTTAGATACTAACTCATGTATTATTAGTGTATATTAGGTCAAATGCTACACTCACTACACATCAACATATATAAAAAGAAAGGGAAGCCCTATTGACCACTAGACACTAACCGACTAGCCAATGAGTGAATAGAACCGAGAGCAAGTCTTTGGATTGAGCCAAGTTGTTCAACAACATTGATATGAACCAAGAGACATCAATCATACAATATACTTCAATGAAGATGCGAAGAAAATGTTGTTGAAATTATCAAAAGATATTTCAATTCATGCAACATTGGAGAAGAACGAAGCTTCGATCATTGTTATAAATTTTGGGTGGATTACAATTTAGAGTAATTCAGAATTAATGTATTTTAAGATTTTGTTTACTTTAGGCTACATTTATATCATGGTTAATTATGACCAAAGTATGAATGTTACAACTATTGGAATGTCTTTAATAGTTTCATTTTGAGACTATATAAAGTCATGTACGTTGTATTTGTAAGCAGATGGTGGAAAATATAGTAAAAGAAGCATTTGTGCTTTCCTTTAGTCAATGACTAAGTTTCTATGTAGTTTAGGTTGCATGTAAAATCATTCAAGCTCGACATGATCAATCTTGCTTGTGGAGTGATTCAAATCTCAAACAAGTGTGAGATATTTGATCAACAAGAATCATTTAAGCTAGACATGATCGATCTTGCTTGTGGAGTGATTCAAATCTTAAACAATGTTCTTGCCCCTTGAGATATTCGATCAACAAGATAATCCGAATCTTACTCCCCTTCTAGTGATTCCTTATCTTATCAAACACTCTCGCTAACAACATTGGTCCATTTTATGAGCCTTCTACCATTGTCGGGTGAGAGCAATCTGTGAGTCAATAAGTTCAATTTGTTCAAAATCGAGCATTAAGAATCACATTGGAATCATAGGATGTGCTATTATGCATTGAGAAGTTACTAATCATGAAACATTTATAATGAGAGGTTATTAATCGTGGAATATTTCTAAGAGAAGAATTTTACATTTTATTTTGTCCAAAGTCAAAAAGTATTGTGCTTGAAGTATTTTAGTACAAAGTGTGTTTTGTGACTTTCTGTTTCAATTATTCGTTTTCGTATGTTTTGATCGAAGGTCAAAGTCAGCACAAAGGAACCCACTCCATACCCAAGATATGACTTAACTACTCCTCAACTAAATATCAATTTATTTAACAATAACAGCTCAAAACAACTGCTAGGAAATATTATCCGCGTTGGTCCGTTACGTATCGTCGTTCACCTCACGATTTTAAAACGCATCTTCTAAGAGGTTTCTACACTCTTATAAGAAACATTACATTCCCTTCTCCAACCGATATGGGATCTCACAATTCACCCTCCTTGGAGGTCTAGCGTCCTCGCTAGCACAATGCTCAGTCTCTAGCTCTGATACCATTTGTAACAACTCAAGCCCACCGCTAGCAGATATTGTCAGCTTTAGCCTATTATATTTTCCCATCAACCTCACAATTTTAAAACACGTCTTCTAGGGAGAGGTTTCCACACATTTGTAAAGACTGCTTCATTCCCCTCTCCAATCGATGTAAGATCTCACACTAACTTATATATCAAAGTACGTTGAGCGAAACACCACACTAATTAGCAAGATCTATCTTACAGCCATATAGGTCGTCAAGATCATTTGTAGTTGATCCGAACCAACGGGACTAACCAACTAGATTCATTCACAAATGAACACAAATAATCACAAAGTAATATTAGTAACTGCAGTAAAAATGTGGTGAGATGGGTCGCTCTTTACCGAGGCATATAACACAAAGGATAAGAATGATAAAAAGAAGAACAGTATTTGGTTTAAAAATGGTTGCAATATCTCTGTGAACTAAAGAACTGAAAGTAGGATTTGGTAGTTAGATTGAACAGCTACACGCAACACTCACAGAGAGAGAAGAACAAAGAAAGGTCAATATCCATAGGGATAGCGAATGATTTGGTCTGTTCTACTTTCTGTCACTGTTCATTGTGTTGTACGGACCGACAAAACATTTAATAAAGACATAGACAGAGACAGAGAGTGTGGGATTTGGTTAAGAAATCCTTAATTTAAGGAAAGGAAAGGAAAGGAAAGAGATTGCACGTGAAAGGGTAAATGAAACATATATATATATATATATATATATATGAGGCATGCAACGTGAAACGCTTAGCTTCGTGTTGTGTGTACTTTTTAGAAAAATGTCGGATAAAAAAAACACACAAACACAAAATCTGATTACGTGATCACGGTCTTGTTCATTCTAAACGTATGGATTTGATTGAAACCCATGTTAATTGGATTTGGTTTTGTAACTTAAAAGATTTTGTTTCACTGATTTGTGGGATGTACATTGATTATGTTGCCTATATTTGCCTAACTTAACTTGGAGTCAACTTAACTTAGAGACGTTCTTTGAGTACAAATCTTTCTCGTTATATAAACTTTGAGCTAATAAACTTGACTTAGTAGAATAAGTTAGTAAACTTATCGAGTGACTTTAGTAGGTGAGAAATTTGTTGAGTGAAGTGATTAGAAGTGAACGTAACTCTCTACATCGACAACAAATCTGCGATTGCACTGATGAAGAATTCGGTATTTCATTGGCAGCAAACACATTGACACTCGCTTCTATTTCATTCGTGAGTGTGTTGAGAAAAGACAAATAATTGTGGAGTTTGTATGCACTAGAGAGTAACGTGCGAATATTCTAACCAAGGTCCTAACGAAGATTAAGTTTGCAAAGATGCAAGAGTTGCTGGGGTGAAGAATCTCGAACAATTGACTTATAGAGTAAGTTACTAACTTATGGAGCAACTTTAGTAGAGTTTTAGCGGTTGCCCGTGCAGACCAAATTTAGTATTTTAAGTAAGAAGATTGTTAGTGGTTTTTAAGTTACGAGAAAGTTTAGGAAACTAGTTAGTGATTTCTAAATACTCATGAGATGCAAGCTTTTTTCAAGCATAAGTGCTTACAAAAGATCTCTCCACTCAAGATGTTCTTTCTGTTTTGGTTATTTGGTTTGACATATTTCGATCGTCGGTCACATTTAACATCAATGATCAAGATAAAATTTAAAATAGTTTACAAAAATAAAATTTTACCCCTGAAAATTGATGGGCGTTCAATTAGTATTTTCATGTTTTCGTTAGGTTTCATGAGTTTCGTTCTTATATTTGAATGGTTCTAATAAAGAATTTGAAGTGTAGTTCGTTTGTAAACGTTCATAACGTGTAGTTAGGGTCATTATAGGGTTCGAAACAAACCCAAATAATAGTGCCTGGTTTTGCCCACATAGCCCAAATAGGCCTAATAATTAAAACTTTTCAAGTGATTCTAGTCATGAACCATTACTTATTCTAAAAATGTGTATGAACTAGTGCAACAAAGTAATCTCCATTTAAAACAAGCAAACATATCCGAGCATTAAAACACGACAGGGCATGGTTTATAAAACAACAGTACAAAATAAAGGTATAGAATACTCGTCCATAAAATCATAATATTTTGAAAAAAAGACACTGATCTATGCATCTGCTTCGACCACTCCTCCTAAAACTTCATTTGAAAAAAATTAAGATGACATGTATGATCAGTATAAAAAATACTCGATAAGTAGCTTGCTTGTAGTTCTTAATTTGTTCTTAAGTTTTATTTCATTGGTTTGTTTGTTCGTTAGGTCCTTATTCATACTTAGGAATTCGATTTTAAGTTGAAAGGTTTTTCCTACGCTATACTTAGGTTTACTTGGTACACCTAAGTCAACTTAGCGTGGTTGTGTGAAAATTGTAAGTTCTCTTTCCTTAGACCTAATTGGGCCGTCAATTCTCGTGATTCGTTCTAAAATTTTTTGTTTAGATGATCTTCTAATCCCTTTCATCGTCATCAACATCATTATTATGAACCTTGTCAGCATTATCATAGACCTATTGCCAGTAGGCTCTCGAGGCGTGACCCTAACATTTATGTGTCAACCCATAGCTCTCATCGTACTGTTTAAAGACATTGTTCTCAAATTCTTTAATGGGGTTTAGTTAGCATCCCCGGTAGGCCCCATAATATAAGCAGTACTACAAAGGAGGTTATGCTCCTCACTCAAGCCAAAATTCATGCTCCTCAATCAAGCCAAGATTCATTTACCTATGTGGTCCTCCATTCTCTTCGGAGCTAGATCATGATTAGACAATGGTTGGAGATCCCCTAACCGCTCCACAAGACGCTCACAAAATTCTTATTGGGTTCATGTCTTTTTAAGGCTCAACTCTAGTTCTACCAACTCATAAAAGTAATGCAGCATACCCCTACCGATCAGGCTATTTTACTATAAAAAATTTAACATGTAAGCCCCTTTATAGTCTCCACAAAGTACACATAAATTATAGTCAGCTCTATAATATTATCCAGACCATCGATGACTCTGTGAAGTTCACGATTTGGGGCTTGTTGGCCAACTAATCGTCCCCATAAGAAAGTTGGAACAAAAAAAATAAAAATA